CACAGTTTTGACTTTTCGTAGAGCCTATGTGGCTATCTTTGTTTCTAGAAAATTTGGAAATCCAAGATTAAGAGAGATAATCAGCAAAGAAAGTTTTAGAAAGCAACCATCCTATTTAGAATTCTTGTAAGATAATATGGAATGGAAGTAGTTTCTCCTTCAGCCACCATTGGACATCATGTTTTCTTTTTTTGCCTTTTCAGTGCATTATCAGAAGATCATTCACCGAGACATCAAACCATCAAACTTGCTCTTGGGGGACGATGAACATGTCAAAATTGCTGATTTTGGAGTGAGCAATCAGTTTGAAGGCAGTGATGCCCAGCTCTCCAGCACTGCTGGGACCCCAGCCTTCATGGCCCCCGAAGCTATTTCAGATTCTGGAAAGAGCTTCAGCGGAAAGGTAGAATCCTTGTTTTTCTATATGGCTTTCACATGCACATTCAATTGGAGGGAGTATAATTATTATTAATTATATTTATTTGTCATCCATCTCATTTCAAGGCGACTGTAGGCAGCTTGCAGCATAAAAACATTAAAATTATCAGAAATAAATATTACTAACCTAATAACAATATATTCTTCATTCTACTGTTCGCCCTACACCAGAGATATTCAACTTCAGTGCTGGCTGGGAAATTCTAGGAGTTGAAATCCACAGGTCTTAAAGTCACTAAGGTTGGGCACTCTGCTCTACACTATTATTTATATAAGACCTCATTTTTCTTGATTTTCATGGGAAAGTTTTGAATGTTTCAGAAGCTGTATGAACATATCCACCTACTATGTTCAGTATCAGACCTCCAAATCAGTAGCTTTATTTCCGATGTTCAGCTTGTGAGGACCAATATTTATCCAGCCAAAAATGGCATTATCCACATGTAAGAAGGTGGTACCATCATGTCTCAGGGAAACTCCAAAAGTACAAAGAAACAAACTAACAAAAACAAACGATCTTTAGAAAATATATACCCAAGAGAGGAAAAATCCTCAAACTAGCATACAGTACTAGGCCATGAAAAATAATGAGAAGTAAAAAATGTTAAAACGTAGGAAAGAAATGAATACATTAATTAAATGTTGTTTTTTTCCTTTCAGGCTCTAGATGTCTGGGCAATGGGTATTACTCTCTTTTGTTTTGTATATGGGAAGGTAAGGAATCTGTAAATGGGACTATTTTTTTTGTAGGGGGGTGTTAGAGTTAAATCATCTGTTCTAGGGCTCTCCACTTCCCCTTTCACCCAATAAGGCATACTAAAAGTTGTATCAATATATTGGATTGAAGCACCTTGTTAAGCATTGCTTAGCCTTCCCAGGATGATATTTGGAAACTAGCTTTCTTATAAGGGTTACGCATTCCCATAAGTTAGAATGTTAGATAATTGTTTCCAATATGCATGCATTATTTTGTTCTACATTATATTGTAATGTAGATTATTTTCTACAATCCAGCTAGAAATTAGTTGTAGTACAGGAAGGGGGGAGGGGAAGGGAAGGGAGATTTTCGATGCTCCCTGCAAGATTCCCAAAGAAACTCAATGGGGAAGCTGGCAGGAAATCAGAAGTTGCTCCTGTTCCCACTGCTTTTTTGCCCACCCTTGGCCATTTTGCATTTCTGTTTAAGTAAAGAAATACCTCTGAAACAATGACTCAATTATTGGATTGTTCAATAATGCATAAATATATATAATAAATATAATTGGAAGAGCTAATGATTTGGTTAAGACCCTACACACACACACACACACACACACACACACAGAGAGAGAGAGAGAGAGAGAGAGAGAGAGAGAGAGAGAAACATAATATATAATTCACAGATCATTAACTGTTTTAACTGAAAAGCGAATTGCTTCCATTACAGTATAAGTGAAAAATAAAAATAATATATCTAACCACCCCCTTTAATATGACTATGAGTGCATAAGAATATTGATATACGAGTTCAAATATCACAACAATCAGTCCTATAAAAAGCTGCTTAGGGCCTAAGCCATAACTGTTCCTGCCAGTGTAGGGTTATCTATAGGCCAAAAAGAATGGAAAAATGGTTTGTTTTTCAGTGTCCCTTCATTGACGAATTCATCCTGGCGCTTCACAACAAGATCAAAAACAAGCCCGTGGAGTTTCCAGAAGAGTAAGTAGACTTGTAGAATTAACTACCGCAATCAGAGTTCCTCAGCCGGAGTCATTTGAACATCTAGTCTTGCCCATTCCAAACAGGTGATAATCATGCCAGTAAACAGCAAGTATGCCAGTCTCTTTTCAGTTTGGGTAACATCTGGAACAGCAATGGATGAAAGCAGGGACTGAACCCATGGAAAATGGGCTGAGGGGGTATCCCACAGATAGACTGATAGACTGCTGAAGATCAAGGGAGTTGTAATCCCAATAGGTAGAGGACATCACCCTAATAGTCCTTGGTTAGTAGCTCCATTAATAGAGATTTACTTTAATTACACCTATCCCATTAATAACCTTCTTTCCTTTGTTTTCTTATCTCTGCTTTCTCCAGCCAGTTTACATATCATAGAAGCCTCATTTCCCACATTGTATTAGATATGCTGTATAATTAGTTATACTGGTATTTAAGGAGTATTTTCCCAGTTATTCCCATATTGTCCAATGACAGCCTGGAATGATATTTCATAAAGCTTTCTCTTTTTGAAGATGAAATCATTTTCAGTCAAAAATGTATTTCTCCTTTCCTTTTGACCCTTCTGTTATATATTGGTTTTGAGATTTGGTCCTAATTATTTCTCTGTCACACCAAAGCATCTCAATTATTCTTGCAGCCTTTGGTACAGGTCAGTCACCTTTGTATTTATTGACATTCATTTACCGGTAGTATCCATTCTCTCTCTTGACCTTGCCTGTTCTCATTTTGCTCCACTTTTAAACACTCCAGGGTAATTGTGTTCCATTTCCTTTATGATATTCAAAACTCTCTGTAAGGAACCACTTCAATCCACATCTTAAGAAAGCAGAACTCTTGGAAACGGTTTCTTCCAACAGGAACTTTTATTAAGAGAAATTGATAGCAGGCATGATAGACAGGATCTGAGGGATTCCCTCACAAATTAATGTTTTAAAGTGTCCCTAAGCACCCCCCACCCCGCAGTTCTTCCGGGCGATTCAGACCGGCATATTTCTAGGTGTTAAATCCAGGAAAGATAACATCAATCTGGCTCCGTTGTACACGATCATGCAACAGCTCATCACACCTTATTTTGATGACGGATAAATAACCCAGATTCCGGAGGCTGGATCTTTTCAGCCCCCCACCCCTTTCCTAGCTGCCCCGTAAGGAGGAAAGTTCAGAGGTGGATAGGATAAGAGGCAAATGGTTACATTGTAATGGTTAGCAGAGGCGAATAAACAAAAGGTTGCTTTGTAGTGAATAGAGGAAGTGAAAATAATAAAAAAACCTCCCCCTTGGGAATATGGCAGGACCCAGGAAAGGGTAAGGATTGATTTTAGATCGGAGGAGATAGAAAGGAAATATGACTGGATCCTGACACTCTCACTTCCATATAACAAAGTAGGGGAAAATGGCCTTTCTCCATACTCTTTTTCACTTTTTTTTAATACATGTGTTTTCCTTATTAAAGACCACATTTTATCTACTACTTTCTACCTGCATTGCATGCCTTAATGTTTTTTCATCCATTTTTCCATTTTTAATAAACAGTCTACCCAGGTACAGAAATGCATCTACTTGCTCTAATAAGCACATTTATGTATAATCTGCATTCATTAATTCACTTTTCCCTGTCAAACACAGCTACCTTGGTCTTAGATGCATTGATTTTCAGATCTGTATTCCCTGTGACATCATACAGTCTATCTAACATCCACTGCAAATAATTTGATCTGTTAGCCAAAAACATGGCATCACCAGCATACAAAAATATACACACGTTTACATTTCAAACTAACATACTTCTTTATACATACATGTATAAGGAGGTGTATTGTTACATGTATACATGTATAAGGAGGCGTATTGTTATATTTAAGTACATTAACAACCAAGGGGACATCACACATCCTTTTCTTACGCTCTACTTTCCCAAGAAACTGGGATAGGCAAATGTTGTTGTTTCCTAATATAAAAGGTATCATCACAGAATGTAAGTTGTTCCAAGTAAATCTACCTTTGTTGGTGATTTTTTCAATGCCCGGGGTGTTCAAGTGGTGCTCCAGATGTTTTGGGATTGCACCCAAGCCATCTGTTACTATTGGTACTATCTTTGCTTTCTTTTGCCACAGTTGTTCTACTTCTGTTTGCAGCTCTTTGTATTTTGTGATTTTCTTCCATTCTTTCTCTTCTCTTCTTTTTTTTTTTTTTTTTTTAA